CCCGGCTGGGGCACGGCAGCCAGGGGTCTTTAAGAGCTGCGCAGCGTCTCCGTGCGGATTGTCCTCAGGTACTCGGCACTGGGGAGGCCACACCGCGAGTGCTGTGATCAGCTCGGGGCTCCTCTGTTCAGGAGGGGCATTGAAGCTGCAGCGGGCCCAGAGAAGGCAGCAGAGCTGGGGAAGGTTCTGGAGCACAGGTCCTATGAGGAGCGGCTGAAGGAGTGGGGGTGTTTAGTCTGGAGAAAAGGAGAATTCAGGGTGATAACCTTATCACTCTACAGTCCCTGACAGGAGACTGTAGCCAGATGGGGGTCGGGCTCTTCTCCCAAACAACCAGTGATAAGATTATAGCATATAATCTTATGCTGCAGCAGGCGAGGTTTAGGTTGGACATTAGGAAATATTTCTTCACAGAAAGGTGGTTTATTATAGATTGGAAGGGGCAGCCCAAAGAGGTGGTGGAGTCACTGTCCCTGGAGCTGTTTAAAGAAAAACTGGATCTGGCACTCAGTGCCCTGGCCTAGTTTCATCATACATTGGACTCGATGATCTCAGAGGTCTTTTCCAGCCTATTTGATTCTGGGACTGTAAAGCAGCTTTCCTTTCCCCACCCATGTGCCCCCAGGTACACGGTGTCACACCATGGAGGAGCGTGCCAACCTCATGAACATGATGAAGCTCAGCATCAAAATCCTCATCCAGTCAGCCCTGAGCCTGGGCCGGACTCTGGACTCTGATTTCCCACCACTGCAGCAGTTCTTTGTGGTGCTGGAACACTGCCTCAAGCACGGGCTCAAAGGTGGGCACAGACTGCCAGGCTGAAGAGAGGCAGGTCAAGGAGTCTGTCATGTCTCCAGCTTGACTTCTGAATGGCATTATTAATTCTGTAAACATGATGCTAATCAGTAATGCAGATATAACTATGTGGTTACCCTTGTAGACCCTGTATTTTGTGCCTCCTAAACTGTCAGAGTATTTTAATGCCCCCTTTCTGCAGACATGTTATAAGCTGATAAAACAAATTAACAAAGTAAATTTTGTCTAAAATTCTAGACTTGGAAGCCTGTCATTTTTCCTCACAAATCTCTCTGTATGCTTCCTTTAGTGAAGAAGAGTTTTATTGGACAGAACAAATCATTTTTTGGTCCTTTGGAGCTAGTGGAAAAACTTTGTCCTGAAGCATCAGATATAGCAACCAGTGTTAAAAATCTGCCAGAGTTGAAGTAAGTTAATTGTTGGGGATGATGCATTTTGCTCATACTGCTGGGAAAAGGAATCCTTCGTGTAGTCTCTTGGCTTCCTTACCAAGCTCTTGCTCCCAAAGGAAAAAAATAGGGTGTGTAGGAGGCATTGACTTCTCCAAGAGATAAGGAGGATATCTCAAAATATTCAGAGTTTCTGACTCGAACAACGCTGTCAGATTGAAAACAGCATTTGGAAACTTTTATAACATTGCTAAAAATAACTTAAGTATTCACAGGTATTTTTTTCTCTTCTTTCTTTCCCCCCTTTTCATGATTTTGTATCATTTTGTGTGTGTCCTGATAGTATTTGGTTTGAGTGATTCAGGATGATTGAGATAGATTTGATTTTTTTAATACTAGGATATATTAATGGTTGGATTATGGTGGTAGTTGACAATATGTATGGGTTTTCAAGTTAAGAAGTCTTTACAATATAACTTTCCCCGAAGAAAGGAATATACTTAAATGTTCTTGTGTTCTGGAGACAACAGTTCATTTCCCCAGAGATTTGTTGTTGTTTTTTAGTGAGCAATGTCCTTCCTCTCACTTTGTAAACCGAGAATTTTGAATTGCACAAATTTAGTTAATAAAACACCTTGGTTTTACCAAAACATGCATTTTTTTCATTTTAGGACTGCCGTGGGCAGAGGGAGGGCTTGGCTTTATCTAGCACTCATGCAAAAGAAACTGGCAGATTATCTCAAAGTGCTCCTGGACCATAAGCATCTGTTAAGGTAACAGCACAGATTCCTGAATATTCCTGAAACATTGACACCCCCTGTGCCTCCAGGGAGAGTCATTCATTGACCAGTTTCAGCTTGTTCTTGCAGCCTGCAGAAGAGCAAGTGCTTAATTGTTTTTGCAGTGAATCTACAAAGGAACTTGCAGAGTATTTTCTGAGAGTTCTAAATCTTCTGCCTTATGCAATAAATCAGAGCTCAGCTGAGTTTTGTAAAGGCTGCATTACTGTTTATATGGTTTCAGTGATGGAAGTGCCATTATAAGTGTTTGATGTGCAGTGGTGCCTTGTTCTGTTTGTTCCAGTGAATTTTATGAACCTGATGCATTGATGATGGAGGAGGAAGGAGCAGTTATTGTGGGTCTGCTGGTTGGGCTGAATGTTATTGATGCAAACCTCTGCTTGAAAGGAGAAGACTTGGATTCCCAGGTGAAGATTAAAGCTTAAATAGGATCAGTTGGTATAGGATTCTAGTAGAATTAAGTACATCTATAAATACTTTATTGAGATGGGTCCAGATTTCTTTCCAACATGGCCTGTGTAGAAGCTTGTTGTGTTTCCCTCAGTGAATTAAAAGAAAGTACATAAGTAGCAGTTTATGGAAACACTGTCAAAACTAATAACTGCAAGGAAACTGTTCACACATAATATGGTTACTTTGATGCTTTTATGACAAATGTTAGCTTGTATGCTTGCATCAACTAGGAAGAATATAAGTATTATTTGTCTCTCTAAACCTAAACTTCAGATTTTTATCATTTTCCACATATGCAGTAATGCCTGCTTCTACACATAATTGCACTGTGAAGGTGTGTTAATATCTTAAATTTATTTTTCAGGTTGGAGTGATTGATTTTTCCTTGTACCTTAAGGAAACACAGGACAGTGATGGCAAACAGTATGTATGGGGAATTAATAATTCTAAATCATTACCATTTTTGTAGAACAAACCTGTCAGACAGTCTGTGGGAGGATGGGAGTGCTGGAGATTTCAAACTATTAATCATCCAAAACAGAGAACCCAAACCAGATTTTGTTACCTAAACAAAAGTAATGTGTTTCAGAGACTGAATTTGTGGTAGTTTTAACAACAATTTGGAGAGTTTGAGCCTTGAGCTGGGTCCAAATTAAAAGTACACAAAATATTAGATTGTGGTTTTATTTGGTTTTAGAAGAGATGATTTGCCAAGTCACCCATTGCCAACTCACTGCTTTGTTTCTAAGCACAGTTTCAGAAACTCTCAACTAAGCAGCTGTCTTTGAGGGAGAGATCAGTTATAGAGGAAAAAATGTAATTTTAAGTGAAATATTAGATTTGAAACTGCAGTTTGCAACACAGATCCGGTCTTCTAAGGTCATCTAAGACCTTAGAAATATGGTCTTAGAAATATGAAGGGATCTTCATATTTTATGTGCTTCTGTCACTTCAGAGCACTTCACTGGAGCTGCTGAGAAGCAGCCAAGCAGTTGCTTCACCTTCCTGGTGCTTCTGATCCAGCTCAGACACAAGTATTTTTCTAAGGAAAGGATAAAAGATTTTAGATCTGTTTCCTGGTATATGCTGAAAGCCCTAGTACAGAATAGCACTTTAAAATGAATGAGTTTCTTCTCAGTCAATACATTCTCACTTTTACAACTAGAGATGGAGGGATTACAGCTGTCCTTGACCAGAAGCATTATGTGGAAGAACTGAACCGACATCTAAGGTGGGATTTTCATCTGTTCTCATATACTACACTTGTCCTCTTTAGCTTTTCCATCATGACTTTAACTCCTATCCTGCTGCCAGTCTTGTAGATTTTTGTTTGATATTGAAATGCCTTTTCTGATTATTTCCCAAAAATCTTAGTTTAATTTTGTAGTCCTTCTCTTCCGTGGGTACATGCAATGTGGAAAGCAAGTGTGTGTAATAGTTTACTTTTTTGAGAGTGATTAACAGAACACTTTGGAACTAATTTTTTCAAGAGAAACTATTGCAAGTGCATCTGGAAAAGCATTCCTTGGAGGAAGAGTCTCTACTCTTCCCCCATAGGTTGCTCAGTGGGACAAGCAGGCTTCCCTTACCCTCTTGAGCAGAGATGTGTTACAACTGTGAAAGCTAAGCCAGAACAGGGCTGCCAGCAGAAGGACATGGTCCTCTCAGTGCTTGAGAAGGACAGTTGTTCTTCCTCTGAGTTTTTCCCCAGCTCACCAAAGTACTTCATTGTTAACAAATGCAAGATTGTAAAAATACCATTGAGGTTAGGAGTTAAAGTTGAACATTGACAATTCATTTATTGTTTTTATGCATCTCTCTTCCTTGCTGCAGTTGCACGGTTGCAGATCTCCAGAACAAAATAGACTGTTTAGAAAAGACCAATTCAAAACTCCAAGAAGAGGTTTGTATCTGGTCTGTTAAATATTTCTCACAGCTCTTTTCCATCAGAGGCAAAACTCCCTAAGACTGTACCTTACACCTAAAATATTTGAGTAGATACTGGTGAGCTGGGGGGACTGGACAGACTGGCATGGGTTGGTGTGATTTCTAGTTCATACCACAGATCCAGGGTGGATTTTAGCCTTTTACATTATGGTGCATTTCTTTACTCATTTAATACTTAAAAGTAATTGGTGAGGGTGTGAAGCAGAAGTTGGTGAACAAATGTTGGTGGGCACATTAATTTTGGCTGATGGTGGGTACGGCTGCAGAAGGGTCAGGCAGCTGCTGGGGAGAGCAGAAGGGGAAGTGAGCAGCACAGCTGCTGCAGAGACTGAGCTGCTGACTTCAGAATTGCTCCAGATGCTGCATGATTGCACAGTGATTAAATATAGATCTGTTCTCTTCACACAGCTTGCAGCAGCTACTGACCGAATTGGATCCCTGCAGGAGGAGCAGCAGCAGCTAAAACAGCAGAATGAATTAATTCGTGAACGGAGTGAAAAAAGTGTAGAGGTGGGACAGGGATGATGAGGATCCTTAAAATAAGTGATCTCTTTTGGTCAGCTGTAGTGAGTTCTCCTGAGCCCACTGTGCACTGGAATGCTCAGCACAGCTGAGCACCTTGCTATGCAGGTCACTGGGTTTGGGTGTTGCATGCTCAGGCATTAGATTTTACTGTTCTTTACTACACACCCAAAATACACTTGCAGAAGGAAGAACAAATTCAAAGTATTAGAAATATTAAAGTAAAAAGTGTAAAGTATTGAAGTATTTTTATCATTGCTGTATCTTTGACATTTCAGCTTACTAATGTTCATGAGGTCATTGATTGTAAAACAGTAGGATTTTACTTGAAATAGCACATTGAAATACTGTGTTACACACAAGAATTAAAGAGATACTTTAAATACTTTGTGATCTTATGTAGCTGATGTTTCTTGTAGGTAACAAAAGAGGATACAAAAGTAGAATTGGATACTTACAAGCAATCTCGCCAGGGCCTTGATGAAATGTACAGCGATGTTTGGAAGCAGTTGAAAGAAGAAAAAAAAATCAGGCTGGTAAGGAAACTAAACTATAGAAAGTGAAGTGAAGGACACAGGATTCAGCCTGTGATAACATTACAAATACAAGATGACAGCTGTGCACCTTTTGCAGCTGTCCAGAATTCATAGAGCAATTGCAAGCAAGATGATGGGCATTGGACATTAACAGTGTCTGGAATGTTGGAAATAAAAAGCCTCTTTTTAAGAAACCACTGGCATTATTAGGGCAGAGAGACAGTTTGTGTATGGGATTGTCTGGGTTTTATCCCTGACCTATGGCTACGTAGCAGTAACTAGGAAATTCCATCTCTTTGTAAGGAACTAGAGAAAGAGTTGGAGCTACAAATTGGAATGAAAACAGAAATGGAAATTGCCATGAAACTTCTGGAAAAAGATACTCATGAAAAACAGGACACTTTAGTTGCCCTTCGCCAACAGTTAGAAGAAGTGAAGGCCATTAACTTGCAGATGTTTCACAAATCCCAGGTATGTACAGGGGGCTGGGGATGGTTTGTGGGGTTTCTCTTCTTTGGGTGGATTGTGGTTTAACGTTTTTTTCAGTTAATTGTGTGATAGGCATTTCTACAAGGCAGCCATGGTGTAGCAGTGCTCACATAAAATATACAGAGCTTGTTTCCATTAATGAAACCAAAGTTTAACTAACCTCTCCATGCATGAAGTAAGAATTCAGCAAGCCTTCCTCTCCCACATCTGGTTCCAGAAATCCAGGGAGGATTTCTCTCAATTTTTATGGCCTATTCCTTGATGCCTGTTCAGGCTTTACCCAGGTCCATGCCTCCTTCCCAGACACTTGCAAAGTCAGCAAAACTCCCATGCTGAGGTGTGCCTTTGCTTTTGAAAGCAGTATTTTTGAGGAATTTTTTGCTTCCTGGTTCCATGCCCACTGAGTGCAGTTGTTACATCATTGATATTCTTACGCTGTCAATTTAATCTGGTTTTATTTCTTCAGGCTTTTTCTGAAGGGAACATTTTTGGCTTGTAGCTGATCTCATAGGTCAAAACATAGTTAAGGTGGTTTGGGTTTTTTCTCTGGTTGTAACAGAACAATTGGAGCAATGTCTGCTCTGGAATTATCAGCATTTTGTTTGCACATTCCAGTCAGACCCAGGCATGGCCTTTAGCAAGGTGAACATTCTTTTTCTGGTGGCAGACTTTAAACACTGTTCACTATTTCCTACAGAATGCAGAGTGTTCATTACAAGAAAAAACAGAAGCAATATCCTCTTTTGAAGGAAAAACAAATGAGATGATGTCCTCTATGAAACAAATGGAAAAGAGGTAATAATTGCAAGATCAGAAAGTCAACATTGAAGTCAGTAGAAAGTTTCCAGTATAAACCTTTACAGGATGACCTTCCTTATGCCCCATAGACATTTGGGCCTGTGTGCCAGCATGACCTTTTTTACTTTCTCCTCTTCATCTCTCTGTGCTTGCTGTTCTCTCTTCCCAGGCAAACATGTCCATAACTGGCCCACTGGAAAACCATAGCTCTTTCCATAACAGGCTATTGAAAAACATGTTAACTTCACTTTAAGAACAGCTGTGACTTTTGCTTTTGGGGTTTTTTCAGAAACAACTGCTTTCGAAAGTCTTTTTTTCCTCCACTAGCATTTTCAGTTCAAGCTTTTATAAAGATCCCTGTGGTAACTCTAAAAGAAGAGGGGGAGAGGGTGCAGGGAAGGAGTGATTGAAAACAAATGTCTGTGTTCCTTCCTGTGCAGGCTGCAGGAGGCAGAGAAGGCCAGGCAGGCAGCAGAGGAACGGTGCAATAAGATGAAGCAGGAGCTGGCTGGGAAGCTCAACTCATGTCGGCAGCAGATGGCCCAGCTGGACAGCAAATGGTATTTAATCTGAGCAGGTGTTTTCCTTCCCTTTGCTGGTTCTTCAAGAAGTGTTTTCTATTCCTTTTATGCTCAGGTCTAACGAGGGGTGGAGTTTGAAATTCTGTTGGCTTCAACATTGACAGACAGGAGCCAGGGAAGCACAGCACTTTTGTACAGTGTGCAGTTAGCATCAGGATTTTGACATGTTTTTTCCAGAACATCTAATTTAGAGCACAGAGTAGCAGCAAAAAAATCTGCCCATTCCAACTAGCAAGGGAGCTTTCAGTTGCTTTTTTAATAAATCAGGAGATATGTATGGTCATGCTTGTAGGCTGAGCATAGAACTGACTGTCATCCAAAGGGACTGAGATTTTTGAAGGGACTTATGGGTGTTTTCTTAGGGAATATTAATCCTCTAAAAATTTCTAAGGCCAATAGAAAAATCTTTCACTGTTCAGACTGCAGGATAGAGTGTCCCTTTTAAACATAACAGTTTAAACATAGGTGCTGAAATATTAACCTGTGGGGATTGGTTTCTTTGGGGGTCTTTTGGTTGTTTGTTTTTCTTCTAGCCCTTCATTGCTGCTTGTTTTCTATGACTTGAAAACGTTAACATATGTTAAATGTTAACAGCATTAACATTTTTGACGTCTGCTGCCTGTTCTTTCCTTTCCTGGAGCACCACTCTAGTTTTGCCCTCTTTTGGACAAGATTTCTACTTCTCACACTGTTGCTATCCTTAAGTGCTATAGGATATTCTTCTGCTACAGGGTTTTTATAGAATGAATTATTTTTAAATAGCTCAACTCTGGAAAAGGAGTTAAAATCCGAAAAGGAACAGAGACAAACTTTGCAAAAAGAACTGCACCAAGAGAAGGATGCTACCACTCTGCTTAAAACAGAATTGCAACAGATGGAAGGACTGAAAAAGGTATGCACAGTTTCAAGCATTCAGAACAACTGAATGTGAGTTATTTTTTAAGCATGAACATTCTTTTTAACCTGAAGAGGATTTGTTGCCACGTATGAAGTAGTTTCTGAGGACACAGTTGTGCACCTGTACCTGTCTGTGTGCTCCTGTGTTGGCACAGGACTGCCATTTTCCAGCTATGTTTAAGAATGGTCAAAGCCTGAAAATCTTCCTTTTCTTGGTAAATATGGTTAAATGATTCCATTGTTTGTGCAGAACCTGTGGGTAGTTCTCCCTTGTAATTTTAAAAATCAAGCCTTAGAAATAGGGGGATTTGCAAAGGAGCCGATTCTTGTGAACTGCTTGGGGGTAGTTTGGGGAGACTGATCAAGGTTTAGGTCAAGTAGTGCACAGAAAATTTGATTTTGTGCTTGATTTTATAGGAGCTGAGAAAACTGCAAGATGAGAAGCAGCAGCTGAAGAAAGTCCGTGAGGAGCAGGAGCAAGCTCTTCAAGAAATGGGACTTCATCTCAGCCAGTAAGTTCTAGGGAACAGAACTCCTGTAAGTGATGTAAGCTGGAATATCAGACTAATACCAAGAATTTTAAACCTCATTTACTTATAAAAATGAATTGATGTTAAAATTTTAGTAGGCAATTATTATGTATGAAAAACTAAAGAGCCATGAGATGAAGTGAGGGAGGATCTTGTCAGAGTGAGCTGGCTGAGAGGAAATAGTAAAGGAAATGTTTTGTTCTTATAGTGGAACTGTGCTTTTCCTACATTCTTCTGTTTATACTGAAAAAGGGGCAAATTCTGAGCTGACAGAGTTTCCCAGTGATAGTGAGTGGTTCAGATGGGTATCAGGGAGCTGATGAAGAATTGGGGTTTGGTTTCAGTGGTTCGACAGTGGAAATGCAGGGAAAACCAAACACAACTAAATAAAAAGTCATGCAGGGCATAATTTCTTTTTTCCAGATCGAAGCTGAAGATGGAAGACATTAAAGAAGTAAATAAAGCACTAAAGGTACTCTCTTGTGGATATTTTGACTAAGCATAAGAATTTCATTTAACACCTTCAAATTTCACCGTGTTATTCTGCTTTAAAAGGTGGCTTTTGAAAAATACCAACAATGTTGGTAAAATGCCTCTAGGTTTATTTATATCTCCAGCGTGGTTTTCATACCAATTTTCCAGGGTCACACGTGGCTGAAGGATGATGAAGCAACTCACTGCAAGCAATGTAAAAAGGAATTCTCCATCTCAAGAAGGAAGGTAATGTGGTTCAGCAGATTATTTTTAAATAATCCATGGAAAACAAAAGCAGTGCTGTTGCATACCTTGCTAGGAAAGACTGAACCTGTTCAATTCCAAATCTTGTTGGCATGATAAATACATAGGGAATAATTTGGCATTTACCACCCCAAAAGCAATACTGCCCCTGCTCCGGTGCTCCCAGTGGAGCTGCCGTGGCTGTTCGGGCTCCCTTGCCGGCTGAGCAGGCGCTGCTCGATGCCCGGCCCGCGGTGGGTGGGTGTGGGACAGGCGGGGAGCCGGCAGGCGCGGGCGGGCAGCGCAGCCCCTCCCTCCGCGGCCAGGCCCGAACCCGCTCCGGCTCCCGTTCCCGTTCCTGGCTGTGCTCGGCCCTGCGCAGGGGAAAGGGCTGCTGGGAGGGCCGGGCTTGGTGGGAAGTAGAGGGACTCAGTGGGTCGGACACAGTTCCCAAGGTCTGGCCTCTCTTCCTGATGCTGTTTGTAGGCAGCTGTGTTCATTCTGACTCTTTTTTGTAGCACCACTGCAGAAACTGCGGGGACATCTTCTGCAACACTTGTTCCAGTAACGAACTCGCGCTGCCATCCTACCCCAAACCCGTCCGTGTCTGTGATAATTGTCACACATTGCTGCTCCAGCAGTGCTCCTCTAACTCCTCCTAAGGCTCTCCCACCCTTGACAGAGCCACTTTAACATTGGAAAGTAGCCATTATTTTTTTAATTCTGAATTGCAGGTGTCTTCTGTGCAGCAGACTGGACTGGCTGGTCTGATAATTTCCACTGTAAGGGCAATGTAAATTAATTTGTAGAGATTGTGCAAACTAATGCTTCTCCAACTGAAATAATTAAGGAGCTTATATCAACTGTAATTTCCCCAAAAGTTCTATTTGAAACTAAGATTCATTTTTCTGATTTTTATAGATATTTGTATTAAAATTTGTATATGGCATTTCTACATTTATTTGATCCCTGTAGACATCATTGTCTCTCTGTACATGAAACTTAATTTCTTTACCTTCACTGTAGGTGCTCCATGTGTTCCCCTGGCTCGTGTACAGTTTTGTATTTGCTCTAAGTCATTCAGAGAGGAAAAGGTCAATTTATGAATTGTCTATAGAAAGCTTTATAAGGAGTGTCAATGAATGTGCCTTCAGTTCACTGCAGAGTCAAAAACTGCACATTATACTTGTTCTGGAAGTCGCCGTGCCCACCGTGCAGTAGTTACACAATAAAGTCTTTTGCAAAAACTGAAAGCAAGTGAAGTTGTAATTTTTAACACCTGTCAAGTCATAGATCCTGGTAAAGAGTGTTTTTCAGCCATGCATATCCAGGGTTTAAGCTGAAAGTAGCAGATTGTGTTTGAGGTACCTGACCAACACTGTGGTATTCCCTGGAAGGTGCTGGATGAAGCCACTGCTCTGCAGCTGGAACTGCTTTCACCGTCTTGCAGATAAAAAAGGGCAGTGGTGCCAGCAGCTCACTGTGCCCAGCCCTGGGGCAGAGGGAGTGGGCCCTGGTCCCTCTTCTGCCAGGCCTGGCCTGGGCTGTGGCAGGGATCCCAAAGCAGTTTGTGCTTCTGTGCCAGTGCTGTCACCACACCAGCAGCACGGTGAAGGCAGCCCTGTCCCCAGGCAGCACCCAACAGCCCCCGTGTGTGCCCCAGGTGCCAGAGCAGCTCTCTTTAACCAAGTGAGCTTCTTCCAGAGGCTCCATGTGGAACAGTGCATACCCAGGGGGGATCCCCACTCTGCCCCAGCTCAGCCACGTGGCCCTGAGCTGGGCTCAGTCAGCAATCCCCTCAGGAAGCAGGTTGTTTTCATGGCAGACAGCCATGGCCAAAATACCCAGTGCTGAGAATTCCACCCTTACAGCTCCTCTGCTACAAAAGAGGAGGACACTTTTATCACTGTAGAAAGGACCTCAGGTTCTTAACCCTTCAGGACAAACAGTTCCTTATCATGGGTAACCAAAATACTACGGCCACTGACTGCATGGAAGCAGATTTTGCATTAGTTCAGGGGAAGTTGCAGTGCTCAAAAAGCTGTAACAATGTTGCTTACAAAATCACATCTTTAAGCAGGATGTTTGACAAGTTACATTTATTGAAACATGGTTGCAGTAAGCTGCCCAGTCCACGGATGCCTACAGGAAAGTACAGAATCAACCCTCATCCCCCCAGCAGTTTTAGGGCCCAGCCATGCAGTGCTTTGAACCAACACCCACTGGGCACCCCCAGCAGCAGGGGGGATTGCCTCAGCTCCCCCCCAGCTGTCACTGTTACAGTTTATGGGTCATTGAGTCACTGTGTGGCAGCTGCAGGGCAAGGGCACAACAGTCAGAGGACATGGGTGCAAGTGTGGTTACAAGAAGCAGGAGGTCAAGAAGGAGTGAGTTCCAGTTTTTAAAAGGAAGATTTATTTAACAAGTTTCACTTAGCGCAATACACCTAAAAAGGAAATCACAATACAATGAAAGATTAAATCAAGGCCTCAGAATTTTATACGAACACCAAGACCAAAATCCTAAAGTAGCCGTATTGCGTCTCAACATGTTTCCCCCATTAACTTAAAAAAAAAAAAGCTTTAACATGCCTTACAGGATATTAAAAGAAATAAACTAGAACTAACATGCCAAATGTTCACTTTGATTTTCAGACACAGCTCCTATATTGGTTCTTTACAAAAAAGCATGTCTCTTTCAACATGTATTCAAAACAGTGTTGGATGTAATATGGTATAAGAGCAACATTTAACATAATTCAAACAGCTTTAACCTAAATACGCTTACTGCTTAAATACACTCCTACAACAAAACTAACTTGAGAAACGCTTCAAATTGTTTAACAGTTATAGTCTTTACTTGGTTATTACATCCTAGATGAATGTTCATTTCTGTATGTTCAAAAATACTGCACCTGAAAGGTTTTAAAACAATCCTGAATTCACTTACAGTAAAGCATAAATCACAAGCTCGTATTGCAAAACTGTTAAACTTAGTTTTTTGTTTTTTTGTTTTTTAAAAAAGATGTGACCAAAAGTCAGCGATTGGTTACATTCCCCAGCCACCACTCATGTTGGACATGTTGGACATGCCGCCCATGCCGTTCACTCCCATGGATGCGCGGTTCCCACTGCTGTAGTAGCTGCTGTTCATGGCGCCCTGGCTCCCGGGGTCTGAGGGGGAAACCGACAGCAGGTTCACAGCTGCCTCAGGCCGACTCGAAGCATCCTTGCCCCAACGCCTGTCCTTGCTGGGCCACCTCGTAAATACCGTCTACCGTGCCCAACGCTGCAAAGTGTCAGTTTACAGCTCCGTACCCAAAGCCAGTTACCGGATGTTCAACGACAGCACGAGCTCTGCATCACCCCCTTCCCAAGCCAGAGCTTTACCACTGCTCTGGGGGAATAGGGAGGACCCAGCCTCCCATGACCCCCTCCCCCATTTGTACTGTGTTTAAATAATAAACAAAGCTGGTCTCCGGCTTTTGGGTTAAGAAAAGTGATCAGAGCAATGCAAGTCTGAGACTGGCATTTCCTGCCCCTTCCAGAATAGTTTCCCACATTTCCCCCCCACAGGTCCCCATTGCAGCTTTGAATCGATCCCCCCCATTCCCCAAAATTCACAGCAGCCACACCTTTAACTTTCAGAGCCTGTGCTGCCCAGGTTATATCACAACCCTTTAACACCAGTGAAGGGCATGTTAAGCCAGCTGCACCTGGCCCAATGGAAACCAGCAAAGAAATGCTCTTACCATAGCCACTCATGCTGCTTTGACCTCCATATCCTCCTCCATAGCCCCCACTCAGCTGCTGGTTGCCTGGAGCACCATAACTGGATTGGCTCCCTTTAAGTTAAAGGTAAAAACATTAAGAACTTGCCGGTCAAGATCTGCTCATTATCAACAAACCCAGCCCTCACCCAACCAACAGCCCCTGCACTCTGGCACTACCTTGCTCACACCAAGGGAAGTTTAACATGCTCAAGGAAAGTGATGGGGTTTCTAAAGACATCCCTGCAATCAAGCAGCAACAAGAACTTTAGAAGTTACTTTTACAATTTCTGTGGACTATACTAAACAGGATCAATCTGCACTGTAACACACCCCAAAAAACTTAAGCTTGGCTATAAGGGACCTCACACTGAGTGCTGGCCTTCCAGAAGCACAGAAGTTCATTAACTGAAGTCACTCATGTGTACATGGTCCTGACAGACTTATTCCTGCCCCAGACTGATTGTGCATCACATCACAGCAGTCGTGTGGCTCACACACAGATACCTCTGTTTAAACAAACTGCTCTTAACCTCATCACTTGCCTAACACCCCTTTCTGTAGTTTAAATATCAGCATTAGAACTATAAACATTTTGTACACAAATACTATAAAAGCAGCAGTGCATCCACACCCCCCCACCCCAGCACCCTCGAGAGAACGGAGCCCCCCAGAAACCAACCCCACCTTCATCTCCGTAACCAGCCCAGCTGGGTGTCAGGAGGGTATCTGTCTTAGAGGCATAACAGCAACAGGCATTTAAGACTTGTGCTGCAAACACACATTTTAAATTTTTAAACAATTTTGGAGTTTGCCAGAGCAATTCAGACAATTTCTCCCAATTCCAAATATCTCTCTCTCACCACCAAGACTCAGCTTGAATGGCAGGTCACATGCCACAGATACATCCTCCATCACCGAACCATGTTCTGGTATCCCCCAATAGGGAAGGGGAAGGAGAATAAGGACAGGTATCTCCCCAATTTTGCACTACCACACTCCCAAAGCCACTCATCCCACAAGCACACCACACTCAGCACCACAAGTTTATTCAACCTATTAAAGCTCAAATGTATTCCCAAAAGGATTATATACCTGGCAATGTGCTAGTGTTCCAATCCTGGACTACCCCTTCCGACTCCTTGACTGTGTGATTAAGACAGAATGTTGAATTTCAGTTTTGATGCCAGGCACACAATAAAGCAGGAGCTGTACAAAACGAGCCAGCTTCCAAGTGCAGTGAGACAGTTACATACCCATTGCTCCCATCATCTGACTGCCATAGGCGCCACCAGTTCCTCCTGCTGTAGAATTCAGGAAGAGCTCTACATATCTGTGTTCTGCAAGAATAAAGTTCTCCCATGAGAGCATATCACACCAAACCAGGCAGCTTGTCTCACTGCAAGTGAAGCTGCAGTGATATCTTTGGCATTCCAGTTGCAGCAGATGCACTACACCAGTGCTGGCAGCTCCCCAAAGCCACCTCTCTTGAGCAGTCAGACTTACGCATATTTGCTTTGTCTTTGGACATGGCAGCCACTGCGTCCTCGTGAGTAGCAAATTCAACGTCTGCCTCTCCGGTTACTCTGCCATCTGGTCCGATTTCAATGTGTACTCTTACAGGGTTCAGAGGTGAGAAGAACTACACACAGAACAGTCACACAGATTAAAACGCACCAATGCAACAGCTTGGGTTTACAACAAGCCATTTTCTCCAGAGGAACACTGCAGTTGCAGGGCAGCTGCTATGTCCCCACAAGGAGCCCGGGACCCAGAGCCATGCACGGGGGAGCAGCACGTGTGGCACTCACGTTGTAGATGTCGTTCTCCGTGGCTCGGTAGGGCAGACCTCGCATGTGGACGCAGTGGCCGGTCGTGCTCTGGAAGGTGGACGATCCGTCGCCGTACCTGTGGTCCGACATCCCTGCGGAGAAAAGAGTCCATTCTAGGTCTTTCAGATGTATTTTAGTTTCTTTTGGGACATGTCGTAAGTTCAGTTACTGTTCCTATTAGAGATCCTTACCTCTTCCAAATCTATCAGAACCAAACCCATAGCCATCATTATACCCATTGTAGTCATCATAACCTCCATAACCTAGAAACAGATTGGACATGTTCATTTCAACTACACAAAGTTTCAAATAAACTTTCATTTCGACTACAGAAAGATCCAAATACACAGTACACACTGCAAACAACGACTACTACAACATTTCATTTCTTCTACAAGAATTAAGGCCAAGGACACATACACAGCTGGGGAGACACTACCAGGTCCAAGAGTTGCTGCTTTTCAAAGGAGCAGCTCCCTGGGCCCCCGGGCACTTACCTCCTCCGTAGGCTCCACGCCTCATTCTCTCCAAGCTACTTCCTCTACCCAGACTGTTGTACCCGCGCGTCAGGCCGGGCCTGTCATACGGACCCGGTCTCTGCATGGCCAGCAGCTTGCGGGGAGGGTCGTAGTGAGTGCGCA